GAACCTGTTGGTGTCACGTTACATTACAAACCACCTGTCCAGCCAGCTGGCCTAACTAGCCCTCGGTATGAAAATAGAGAATAAAACTGGAAGAACTGTGGATGCTGTAAATCAGAAACAAAAATATAAATTGCTGGAAAAGCTCAGCAGGTTAGCCCTTTATTCATTAGAGTTTAGAAGAATAACGGGTTGTCTTATTGAAACATATTAGATTGTGAGGGAGCTTAACAGGATAGATGTTGAGAAGATGTTTCCACTAGTAGGGGAATTTTAAATTAGGGGATGTAGTTACAGAATAAGGGGACAATCATTTAAAATTGAGAGGTGAAGGAATCTCTCCCCCCCCCAGAGAATAGAGAATATCTGAAATTCCATATCCCAGCGAATTCTGGAAGTTAGATCACTAAAAGCATTTAAAGAGGAGGTAGATGATTTTTGAGATAGCAGTAAGTAGAGGTGTATGAGGAGCTGGCATGAAAGAGGAATTGAGGCCTTGAACAGATTAGAAATGGTTTTGTTGAGTGTCAGGGGCTTAATGGTCTGCTCCGCCTACTTCTTATGTTCTTAGGAATATATTTTATTGTTTAAACCAAGAAAAGAAAGTAAGCAAAATTAACTTTGTCTCCGTAAGTGTGATGTTTTCTAACTAAGTCTTGTTTAATATCGATTACAGGATTACTGAATACCACCAGAAAACAAATGCTAATTTAAGCATAAATTATAAATGTTTTCATTTACATCTCAATGCTATGGTTATATCTCAGAAAATGGTACAAACACATCCATACCATACTCCAATTTTCAGAAAAGTGTCACTGCTTTGCACGGAAACATCACTTAGTCGGAAACTACACCCATCTCTTACAGCAATTTGTTATCGCACTTCATTGTGTGCTTTTCAATTATTTTTGTTTTCTCAAAAATGATTTAATTCAAGCAGTTAATTGCTGAGTCTATATAGGCGGAACAAGTGATAAATTATGATACATGACTCCAAACAAACTAATAGGTTATTAGAAACAAAGAAAGAAATTGCTGGAAAGGCTCAGTAGGTCTGGCAGCATCTGTGGAGAGAAATCAGAGTTAACCTTTCAGGTCAAATGACCCTTCCTCAGAACAGTAATAGATTATTATACACCTAAAGGTTTTGAGCAATACTATAGGCATTATGATATAACTTGAATTTAATTAAATATATTCAGCAATTGCAATTAACAGGTAGGGTGATACTCAAGATGGGAAGGAACTAAACATACTGCTGCAGAGATAGTAGGAACTGCCGATGCTGGAGAATCTGAGATAACACAGTGTAGAGCTGGATGAACACAGCAGGCCAAGCAGCATCAGAGGAGCAGGAAAGCTGACGTTTCGGGTCGAGACCCTTCTTCAGAAATTCT